GTTAAGTTGCAGGAGTTTGTTGATATGGAGGATTTACTTCATAAAACAATTCGAGTGGAGAAACAACTCAAAATAAAAGAAGTGGCTGAGAAGAGTTCTACCAACTTTGGATCTTCAAGTTGGAAGGACAAAGACAAGAAAGATGTGATTGTTACTTCTAGTAGTTTCACACCTATTCCTACAAAGACTCTTTCAAAGTCTGAAGAAAAACCCTCTAAAATAAGTTGAGATGTGAAGTGTTTCAAATGTCAAGGTCTAGGATACTATACTTATGAGTGCAATAACAAAAGGTTTATGGTTCTTAGAGAGGGAGAATATATAAGTGAATCTGAGGTTGAAGAGGGTGAGGAGAGTGAGGACATAGAGGAGGAGGAGATTCCAAAGGAAGATTTATTAATGAATAGGCGATTACTTGATGGGCAATTGAAGTCTATGGAAGAAAGCCAAAGAAAAAATATTTTCTACACTAGATGTTTAATCAATGACAAGGTGTACATGATGATCATAGATGAAGGTAGTTGCACCAATGTGGCTAGTGCTAGATTAGTGTCAAAGCTAAATTTACCTACTAAGCTACATCCTAAGTCTTATAAACTTCAATGACTTAGTAAGGGTGGAGAGGTGCAAGTGAGGAAGCAAGTTGAAGTGAACATTTCCATTGGAAAATATAATGATAAGGTACTTTGTGATGTTGTTCCTATGAAGGTCAGTCACTTACTTTTGGGGAGATCATGACAATTTGATAAAAGAGTTAATCATGACGGTTTCACCAACAAGATTTCTTTCATGCACCAAGACAAAATGATTGTGCTCAAACCTTTTAGTCCACAAAAAGTGTGTGAGGATAAAAAGAAAATGAGAGAAAAATTTCTTCAAGAAAAGAGAGAAAAAAAAGCGTTAGTGAAACACTTGAGAAGAAAAAGAGTGATCAAAAGAAGAGTGAAAGACTTGAAGTGAGAGAAATCTATTTAGCCATAAAAAGTGTGTATACTGTTAGTTCTACATTCAATTTGTCAGACTTATCTCTTTTTTATGTAGATGACAAATTCAATTTGAGGACAAATCATTTTCAAGAGGGAGAGAATGATGTGAACATGACCTATGACAAAGGCTAGAGTAAGGAAAACAAAAAAAGTTCTTCAACAAGTATTGTTGGTTGACCAAATTATGTTTTGGATTAATCAATTAATGAACTTTAGTTTGGTTTTATTACAAGTTGTAATACAGACCCAATTGAAAATTTAGTTATTAGTCTTTGGGAGACCAAGAGGGTGTATAGCTGATTGATTTTTGGTTGCCACAATTTCAGTTACAATCAAGCATTAAGTAGTTTTCAATTCTAAGGTTAATGAATCATTATTAGCCTTTTTTTGTCTCCATTAAGTAGTTTTCAATTCCTAGGTTAATGAATCATTATTAACATTTATTTTCCTTTATTGAATCTTTGTAATTCTTATGGCAAAATTTCTATATAGGCTGAACCATTTTTATCAAAAATAACAAGTGAAATTTTATTCAGAAATATTAGAGTTTATCTTTTTTATCTTAGTGAGAGTGATTATCCTAAATTCTTGAGTGATTCAAGAACACTTGGCTGTATCAAAGGACTTTCATATCCTTTGTGAATTATCTCCCTTGGGAAGAGTGATTATTTCCTTCCACCTTATCACTAAATTCCTAAATTTTCTACAAGATTCTAACCCTAAAAATCATAAATCACCCCTTATAATTCATATCATTACATTTATCTCCACAAACTGTCATCCTAACTGAATTTTATCTATTTTATCTCCTTTTACATTCTCGAAGAAAATATTTACAAGACCAAATCACTTATATTTTCAATTATTTCATCTCACCCCAAAGAACATATGATGTGTTAAACTTAAAATTAGTATTCAATCCAAAATGAACAACGATATTAATGTATGAAAAATAATAAATCATAAATTATATTTATGTAAAATACACTTTCAATAGCTCACTAGTTTGGAAGAATGTGACATTGTTGCAACTACAGTGTTGTCAAGAATTTTCTTAAATTCAAACGAAACCTGCACAAGAAATAATCAAAATAAGCACACCTTGAATGATGCAGAGGCTAATTGAGAAGGAAAGAGTGTACATAGTAGTGGAAAATAATGAATTTAAGTTGCAATAGATGAAATAAGGAAGAAAGAGGAGAAAAATACCACACACTAGGGGTTGCTTGTTGTTCGAAGATGAGAGATGCATGGTTTAGGTGTTACGGTTTGCCGACAGTTAGAAGATAAGAGGTGTAGGGTAGAGATATAGATTGAGCCTCAAATTGGCTCGTGTGGTGACTCTTTGAGGTGCCAGGTTCGGAGGAAGACCACACGCTACGGTTGGTTGCAGTTCGAAGATGAGAGGTCGTTAGAGTTGGTTTCGATGTAAGGGAAAACAAGAGAGGGTTGTGTGAAGAAGAAGAGAAGACGTTGTAGTTCAACGAATTCGAAGAAACGAGTGTAGGTTTAGAGAGAAAAAGAGATGAAGAGAACAACGGCGACGAGAGGGTTTCGTGAGAGATTAGGGTTGTGCAAAATATATTTTACTCTTAACGGCGGTTTCTATATAAATCGCTAAAAGTAAATTTTAAAAAATAAAATACTTTAATGACAATTAATTTTATAAATCACCGCGAATTAAATGAGATTACAAAATCGTGGTTAAATTTATATATTTTTGGAGGTTTTCATAACCGTGTTAAGAATCCCCTACAATAATTCAACATTTTTTAGTGATAAATCACTTGTGTATATTTAATATTTACATAAAATAAATATATATGAGATTAAATATGTTTTAATTGTGTTTGACATATCATAAAAATAATTAATTATCATATAGTTTATATTATAATTTGTTCAATAATATTTTCAATATTATTAATTGAATTTAAATATAATAGGTTAAAGCTTGTTTTATAATTGAATATTATAAATTAAAATGACTAATCAATTGATAACAAATAATACACATGATAATATCCTATATCAGTGAACAAAATACATTAAAAGAATTTGTTTTAAAAGTGAGAATTAAAGAGAAAAAGTGATAATTTTTATATTGTAAGATGAAATTTGAAAGAGGAAAGTATACAAGTGAAAAAGTGATAAAAAAAAGAGACTAAAAATATGAAAGTAAAAAAGATGGATATTTGAAATTGAGGTGTAAAAAGTGAAAATGTGTAAGAGAAAAAAATGAAAATGAAAATGTAAAAGGAAAAAGAAAAAGTTATAAATAGAAAATTAGATGAAAAAATAAAAATTACTATTATTATTTTATAATAATTAATTTTTATATTTACAAAATATTTTTATTTTATCTTTAACTTTTTATAAATATATCTACATATATATAAATCAAAATTTTTGGGACGGGGTTGTCCAAAAATTGTGGTACCATACAATTGTATCATCGTTTGCATTACATGGTTATTATAATTTTGATCTTTGAACAATTCTATATTCTTTAAGTGTATGAAATACAAGTTGTGCTCCTAATTGAATTAGAAGTCTGTTCACCCGAGAGTATTGAAAAAGACAAAACTCAAGAAAATTGAATAGATTCATGTTCGTTATGATTAATTGAATCTATATGAAGAATTTTTTTCTTTCTTATGCCATTAAAATTATATTTAAAAACGGTTGAGTAAATCTTACGATAAAAATATTTGTCCTCGAGAATTCAATATGGAGATTTGGTACTTAAAAAGTTTATGCCAACTGGAAATAATAATAAAAGAAAGTGAACATCAAATTATGAAAGACTTGATACGAAGAAAAAATATTATGGAGAGCTGATTTTTACGAATATGGAAAACAAAGGTTTATCTCTCTTATTAAACTCTTACACAGTAAAAAAATATTATACTTTTAAATGAAAAAGACTTATGAGGCTAAAAACTAGAGAAGGCATCCTAGGAAAAACCTAGAATGAATTAGTAGGCTGAAAACTAAAATGAAGTCATCTAGTCACGAAAAAGAAAAGAAAAAACTCCCCACGCGAGCTGGACAAAAATTGAAACGACCTACTAATTTACTCAAATAAAAATGTAAACCTTCTTTTGGAATATATTGGAGCATAAAGACGAAAAATGTGAAAAAGGAGAAATAAAAATACAACAAGTGTTATAGTGATATGATAAAAAATAAAAGAAAAAGTTAATACATGTAGTTTCTGTTAAGTAGAGGCTAAAGTTCGTGGATTAAGAAATTTATAAAAACATCAGAAACCATATGATTACAAAATATTAAAGAATGTATTTTTATACATATCAATTATGTTTTTAAATTCCTTAACAATCCTCGTATAGATCCAACATAAGATTTGTTTCATTGAAAATCATATAAAAACATATGAAAAAAAAGAGAACTTTTCTATGCATATAAAGTAAAAATAGTTTTAATTCCATTACAAGTATCGTAGCACTTGTGGAAAAGGAAAAGAAAAAAGAAGAGTTGGTCTTAACCCATAATAAACTCAACGACCTTGGTGGGCATTAATGAGGGTGGATTGAGAAGACAATGGAGGCCAGTGAGAAGGGAAGAAAATGCAGCTTAAACCATTGATATCATCAACACTACTCAGCATCTCCACTCCCTATTAATTGTCCCACTTTCAACTCCACTACTATAAAGCACTTTTTCTCTCTTCCCCCTTCCCTCAAACACAATCCCCTCAAGCTTTTCTCTCTCATTATACGTCCCCATTCCTTCTCCTTTCTTCTTCTCTCAACGCACAACACAACTAGGGTTTGCTTTACGTTATTTTACTATACTATACTTTACATTCTGAACCATTATCTACTACATTGAACTGATTGATATATGTGTATACATGTATTTGAATCTGGTTGGTGATGGTAATAGCAGCCTCTCCGGCGAAAGAGGGTGAGAAGAGGAGCTAGTATTGCGGTGGTGGAAGGTGGAACCAAGACAATAAAGGTAGTTTTTTAGGGTGGTGGGTCCCTCAGTCACATGGAGGCATCGACGGCATTAATGTTCCTATCCGCTATAGCGGCCTATTTAATATGGTTCACCTTCGTCACTCGCTCCCTCAAAGGTCCACGTGTCTGGCCCCTATTAGGCAGCCTACCTGGCCTCATCCAGCACGCCAACCGCATGCACGACTGGATCGCTGACAACCTACGCGCCTGCGGCGGCACGTACCAAACCTGCATCTGCGCCCTCCCCTTCCTCGCACGCAAACAGTGCCTCGTCACTGTCACCTGCGACCCCAAAAACCTCGAGCACATCCTCAAGCTCCGCTTCGACAACTACCCCAAAGGCCCCACGTGGCAGTCCGCCTTCCACGATTTGCTCGGTCAGGGTATCTTCAACTCTGACGGCGACACCTGGCTCTTCCAGCGTAAAACAGCCGCCCTCGAATTCACCACGCGCACGTTGCGCCAAGCCATGGCGCGTTGGGTTAACCGAGCCATAAAGCACAGGTTCTGCCCCATCCTAGCCGAAGCTCAGCTAGAGAACAAATCAGTGGATCTCCAAGACCTCTTGCTTCGTCTCACTTTCGACAACATATGCGGCTTGGCTTTCGGACAGGACCCCCAGACCCTAGCCGTGGGGCTCCCAGACAACGCTTTCGCTCTTTCTTTTGACCGCGCCACCGAAGCCACTTTACAACGCTTCATTCTGCCAGAGATTCTTTGGAAGCTCAAGCGATGGCTCCGCCTCGGAATGGAGGTTAGCCTTAGCCGAAGCCTCAAACACATCGACCAATACCTCTCCAGCATCATCAAGAACCGCAAACTTGAACTCCTCAACGGCACTGGCTCCCACCACGACGACCTCTTATCCCGTTTCATGAGAAAAAAAGAAACCTACTCCGACGAGTTCCTCCAACACGTCGCACTCAACTTCATCCTCGCTGGACGCGACACTTCATCTGTCGCGCTCAGCTGGTTCTTCTGGCTCTGTATCAAGAATCCGCGCGTGGAGGAAAACATCCTCCACGAACTCTGCACTGTTCTCTTGTCGACTCGTGGAGAAGACATCTCCACGTGGCTGGAGGAACCGCTCGTGTTCGATGAGGTAGACCGTTTGGTCTACCTCAAAGCAGCCTTGTCGGAGACCCTGCGACTTTACCCTTCTGTCCCTGAGGATTCCAAACATGTGGTCAATGACGATGTTCTCCCGAACGGAACTTTCGTTCCGGCAGGGTCTGCGGTGACGTATTCGATTTACTCCGTTGGGAGGATGAAGTTCATATGGGGAGAGGATTGCCTCGAGTTCAAGCCAGAGCGGTGGCTCTCTGCCGAAGGGGACAGAATTCAGCTTCAAGACTCTTACAAGTTTGTCTCCTTCAATGCGGGACCGAGGCTTTGTTTGGGTAAGGACCTGGCTTACTTGCAGATGAAGTCCATCGCGGCAGCGGTGCTCCTGCGCCACCACCTCTCCGTCGCGCAGGGCCACCGCGTGGAGCAGAAGATGTCGCTGACGCTCTTCATGAAGTACGGTCTGAAGGTGAACGTGTACCCTAGGGATCTGAAACCGGTGCTGGAAAAGATTACAAGGAGCGAGGGTGTTAACGTTGGTCAAAAGTGACTTTCATTTGGTTAATTAAACAGACAGATACATCATCAGTTTAAATAAAGCCATAATTACGCGGTATAATATAAGAATTTTATATAATGATATCATTATCATCACTAAATATAGAATTATGATGTGTTGTTTCGTTTGTGTTAATCAGTTTAATTTACTCTGTCTGTTGTATAGATGGAATTTGCCTTTACTACTCACAAGTTTCAATTCTCATCTCATCTTGATGTGGGTTGGATGAATACGTACCATATACTTATGTTTCTGTAACATTTCATTAAAAAGTTAATGCTCCGCTGCTGAAAGCTATGTCAATTTATGCTGTAATTTATGGTCCTATAAGCTATATGAAAATCCAAACTTTTTGGTGATACCAATGTAGTTCTGCTATCTGCGATGGTAACGTACCAGTACTTGCCTTGTCTTTGTCACGATCATGTATTAGAGATCAAATTCGTATCTGCAATATTTCCAGATTTGGGATGTTTGGATTTGTAGTCTTGTTTGCTTTTGATGCATATACCGTTTATTCAACCATAAAACAGACACATTCATACGATTGCACGTGACTTGGTATACTAAGATTTGGTAGAAAGTAGAAACGCGGTGCACTTTAGTTGCATTTCATTAATTTTTCTTACATAGATTTTCTTTCGGTTTCCATCCCCTCAATGTAGTTACTTGTTCCATCCAACTTTTTTATAATTCAATTCAAATTAATATCTCAATTCACTTGATACTTTATTTTATATAAGTTGTAATTAATTCCATTTTTTTATTTCTCTCTATTATATTCAACTTTTTCGACCTATTAAGGGATCACTGTTAAAGGGTATATAGTCAGTCAATGCATTTTAGATTTTATAAATTTTAATTTTTATCATTTATTTTAACTTTTATGTAGCCTTAGCCGGTATTACCAAATGCTTTGTTTTTGTCAGAAAAATGTTTTTAGTTTTAATATTGTTTATAATATTTTCGTAAAACCGTACCCTAAAAACCGAAGTAATCCAAATCGATCTTCATCGTGTTTGTTTGGTTCATATTGGCTAAACAATTAAAAATTGAATCAAAGCAATTCAATTATAAAGAATGGAATTTAGTTTTACTCTGAACTCAAACCAATTGAAATGAAAAAAAAAAAAAAAGTACGTTGAAATGCCAGTTTATATATCAATGATCATTCTAAGTAATATTACGAATGGATACAGTCAAGTTGATTGAAGAGATTTCAGATCAAAGTTGGCAAACATTAATTGGTTTAGATTGATTTGATTTAATTTTATTTTTTTCAAAACTTAAACCTAACTGACCCGAACATTTACAGATTATGTACTTGCCAAAAAATTTATGGGACTCTTTCTCTGGGTTGGATGATTGAACTATGATGATCCTTATTATCATTTCATTATTCCAGTTTAAGTACTAAACCCTAAAACACTAGACCTTAAACTCTAAACTTTAAGTTTAACAATTGGTTCAGCAATTGGATCTTCTTTTGAATGAATTGCAGGAACATGGGCATGGTTGTTTGATGACATGTACCTAGTTCAAATTATGTTGGGAGAGCATAAAGAAATGTTACCCTACGTAGTAGATGGTTAGCTCAAGGATAAAGCTTACCATAACTGGTTACAAGCTATAAAAAACTCTGAAAGTGATTCAAGACTTTGAGATATAGATATTTCCATGGATGACGATGACCTAGAGTGGAATATATATATATATATATATATATATATATATATATATATATATATATATATATATATATATATATATATATATATATATATCATAAAAGAATATCTTCTCAAATAGTGTCATGTGAGTGTTGTTAATATATATTAGAGTTTTTTATTTCCTTCAAATAATTTATAATTTTTACAGATTTTTTTATTAAAAGTAAAAAAAAATTGATAGTATTTGATGCTTTTAGCTTCCAAAATTTTCACAAAAATAATGTTTTGGTTATTATAGATTGACGAATTCTAAGTGTACTATTGTACATATAATTATAAGTAATACTTAAGAGTTACATATAATAAGAAAATATTGATATTTCGAATATACCTACTGTACATTTAACTCCTAATAAAATTCTAAGTGAAAAAATTATAAAAAACATTCAAATGATACTCATCATTTTCATAAATTAAGTAATATTATTTTAAGAAAATACCTTATATAAAATATTTATTGTCTAGATTTTTCATAACTAAATGCTACATTCAATGTTAGATTTTCATAAACTGTTTAAGAATTTAATAAATTTTGTTTTTGTAAAGTGGGAATAAAACAAGCAGATCAACAAACAAGAAGGTGAAAAAATGGTACAGACTACACTAAGCAATATTTTGATTGATAGTTAATTAACAGTTTTAAATTTTTTATTCCAAAAATAATTGTTAAAAGATTTTGGCTAATACTTTATTTATACAATCCAATGGACATTTTTATTATGTATAATATTTTTTATATTTTAAATTTTATACATTTTCGATGAATATTATGTATAAAATTTATTTATACAATCCAATAGACATTTTATACAGACATATATATAATTAAGTTTTATTTTAATTAGACAATAAATATTTGGCATACCATGATGCTCTTAGTTACTTATTTTCAACAACAAAAAATCAGTACAATTTTATACTAAGAACATTTTGAAGGGGTTTTCTTAATCTATATTTTTCATCTTTATATCTAAATTATTATTTTAATATTTTCAAAATAAATTATCAATAATCAAAAACAATTTTTGTACCAAAATGTAAATTATTTAACATAAATCTAAACTATAATTTACACATTTTAAAGTATTATTCTAATATATTTTGTATATTTCAAATTAATATTGATAAGATAATATTAAAAGGTGCAAATGAGACCTTAATATTGTTGTTTGAAAAAAATATGGCTGTTAAAAACATTATAATATTTTCTTTTCATACATTTTTATAGTTTAATTAACTAGAATAATTCATGGTGTAAACAAAAAAAACTAGAATATATCTCAATAACATGAAAAGTTACTGGACATAAAACAATAATTGTTATGCTGTTAAGGTCGTACAAGTATCAGTAATGTTCAAGAAAACAAGAACCAGTACCAGGAACCAAAAATATTAAACCCTTAATTTATTACATTCCTGTTCACAAGGAGCTTTGCACTGTCAATTTCCAATCCAGAACTCGATGTCTGTCATTGATGCACCCAAGACTTTATGGTATTGGCGGTTCACATTCATCTTCCTCACCCACAAGCCACTTGAAAAGACGGCACTTATTACATATAATTTAATGGCAATGTACTTATAAATATAAATAATAACTAATTTAAAATACAGTGATAATGTGTTTGATCAGAAATTACTTCAGAGTATATTCAAGGGGAAAAAATATATATTTCTTCCATTGTAAATATATCATTATTTCATATATTTACAAGTTTCATAATTTAGAAATCAAAATAAAAAATAATTTATATATTTTTTTAATCTATTAAAATATTTTTTAAAATAAAATCATAGTATACAAAATTTTAAAATAAATAATATATTTATATAGAAATTAATCCTAACAACGAACATAAAACTAAAATATTCTCAGAATAAGATTTATAAATGGTTATTCACTATCTTAAAAAAATTTAATAAAATATACTATTAATCATAATGATATATCATAACAAAACATTCATGATATCAATAATTTGTTTTTATTTTTTTCTAATATTAAGAATTACTTTGAAGTTATTTATCTATTTGTAATTAATTTTTTCTCTAAAATCAATTAGTTGAAAAATATTAATAATTGTTAAGTTATAAAAAAAATGTTACTTATTTTTGGAGACTCTGTTATATAATATATCATTATTTTGTTGTTATTTTTTTATTATATTCGTTATTTCCTATTTTATTAATAATTTAAATTGTGAAATAAAAAAATCTAAGGAAATATAAATCTTTAGGGAAATTTATTAAATTTTTTTGGGCTTAAAAAAAATATCCATAACATTTCTCCTTACTTAGTGTAAAAAAAACAATTTATTTGACAAAATAGTTTTATTAGATGATTATAAAGCACCTTTTATTAAATTATTATATAAAAGCTTTGAAAAGTATATATTAGAACTCTTAGTGGGCCTAAGAGTCCAACTAACTTTTAGCCCAAAACCACATACATGTAAATGACCAAACTCAATTAATACAAAGTATACCATTCTAAAAACTAAAGGTATATATAAGACTTTATAATTATATATGTTTGTTTTTTTTAAATGATTATTTAGAAATATTTTTGTTATCTATTGGGCTATCTACAACAAAATAGGATGGTTGATTTTCAACCATTTGCTTACAAATTAATTCTTTGAATTTATATTTTACATAAATAATTGTGGCGTATTAAATACTATTATACAATTAATTGTTACTTGTTTCTCTATTTACTACTTAATAAACATTTTTTTTCTTTATGTTTATATATATATATATATATATATATATATATTTTTTTTTTACTTCAATGAAAACTATTTTTTGAGTCTTCCGTTGTTAATAATTGAAAATGGAAAAAAATTCAATATAATGTCAATAGCCAAGGAAAAAATAAATGGTAGATAGCATCTTAGTTTGAAATATCAATTTAAATGCATTAAAAGTAGAGTCCCTCTATCACATCTCGATTTCGTTTTCTAAAGTTTGATTTAGTTATAATTTAATTTAATATCAATGCTGTTTTAGAAAGAATTGTGTTGTTGAAGCCAGTTTAAATTCGAATTTGAACAACATTATAAATATACAATTTTAGATGATTTAAATGTATATGATTTTTCTATTTTTTTCATAATTGTGCAATTTAATTGTAATATTTGTGTAGATCATTTTAATTATAATTTTATTTTAGTTTAGTCCAGATTATTTATTTATTTATTTATGAAACTGTGTTTATAAAATATAAAAATTTAAGACGTTTGGTCTGAGAATACTAGTTTGGAAATGAGAAATTATTAAGATTGTGTCTCTGGTATGATAAAAATGTTGTTCCTTTTTTCTAATTTTTCTTTTTAGCCTTTTATGTCATATTCTAAATGTATAAAATGCAAAAAATAAAAAAGTATCGTGCATTTAAAAAAATAAAATAAAGCCATATCATCTTACATTACAAAACAAAAAACAAATAAAAGGAATAAAAAAAAAATAGCAACATATATAGGTAAATATTGTCTTTTAGTGTATAAAACTCAAATCATGCGATTTTTTGTAACGTTATGTATAGGAAAGTGAAACTAACTAATTGACTTAAATTTAATATATACAAAATACTTTAAATTCCATTGTTCTAATTTTTCGTCAATTAATTAACTGATGCAACTTCGTTTAAAAGTATATTTATAATAAAAAAATAATTCAAAACGTGCTCATAGAAAGGGTTAGAAGCAATATACAAAAGGAAAATTCACATTTAACACTTTTGTCAGGATGATTCTCTTCTCATCTCTGTAATTGATATTGACTTTCTCATTTTAAAGTCCCTCTATTTATTTTTTTTGTCTTTCTAGAAAACTTTTTTATTTATTATTTATATAATTTAAATTAATCTTAGTCATTTTTCAATTATATTTTTTCTATAAATAATACCATGACAAAAAATTTGTGTATTATGTTTTTATATTGGTTGAATTTACCCTTTAGAAAAACTTCTTCAAATTTTAAATACTCTTCTAACATGCATATGATATATTATCTTATGACTGTGATATCATCTGGTTTGTAAATGATAAAAAAATACTTGATGAATATTTATTTTGTATATTTTAGTTTAATTACGTTTCTAATATCTTAACTTTAGGATGACTGCAAATTTAGAACAAAAATTATCTTAGTTTGAATTAAAAAAAATAGGATTCTAGTCTCTCAAAATTTACTTGAAATTAAACAGTTTTTGAAAGATAATTTCGGATTAAAAAATATATTTCAAATTTTGAGAAACTAAAAATAATTAAGTAACTTTTGAATTTATTTTGATATTTTTTAAAATTCCACTTCAATTTAAAAAATTGTTTTCTAACTTGTTTTAAAAAGGAAAAATGAAAGTGAGAATATCCAAAAGTAATTAAAAGAAAAAAAGAAAAATCCTCTTTATCGTAATTCACGATAATATTAAATAAATAATTGATTATTGAATAAGTTGCCGTTAACGACAGATGAGATCAATATTCGTTGTGGTTGGGATGCACTACAATACCATGGTCGGGCCTACTCGACAATCCTCAACCGCAGGATGAAACTATGGGTAATGCGATGAACGGTGATATACATACTAAAACGTGATTCCCAGGCGTTCCTTCACCGTACGGAATATTTTCGAATCATTTAATTAAAGTTAAAAAAATTAATAAATCATTAACTATTATTATTATTTAATTAGTTTCTAACAGTGCACTTAACGCTCGGGCAATAACACTAAACTGAAAGTACCTTGTTTTGTGCTTTTTTTCCGCTCTTGTTCTTGCAAGTTCCCATGGCTTTTCTCTGACTCTTTAACTTCGCATTACTGTGTGTGTCTGTGATGAACGGACACTTCGAGGTTCTTATCTTCAACCAATGTCTTGGTTCTGGCGCTGAAGAAACTATCACTAAGTAAGTATAGGGTTACGGAGTGTTTCATTTTTTGTTTGATTTTTCTTGCTGGTTTGAATAATCTGTGTTTCGAAACCTATCATTGTGCAGGATCGTTTGCATGCTTCTTTCTGGAATTCGAACTTGTTGAGTTTCGGTTGCTGTTTTCTGTGTGGGAATCGGAGCTCGTTGTCGTTTGCTGTTGGTGTTTTGCTGATTAGTTGCTGCTGCTGGCATTGCTGGTGCGTGCGATTTTGAGTCAATTTCTCCGTGAATCTCGTTGTGTGTGTTGTTGTTTTAACTCCCGAGAGTTGGTTGAACTAGTGGATCTGATTGAAGGCCTCTACGGTTCTGTCATTGGTTCTTTGTACTCATTGTGTTGATTTTCTGTTCCTGTGCAATGTTGTTTGCCTCTTGTGTGTGTTTAGAGCTTAATTATGCTATCTGGTTTGAATACAAAACTGAAAGAGAGAAAATGGATGAAATGGACTTTATAACTCTGTGTGTGTGTGTGTGTGTGTGTGCTCTGGCTAGTTTGTTATCAAGAAAGAAATGATCGACGATTGATATCTCCTATCTAAGAAACTTGTATGGGGCTTTAGTTGATATTTACTTATGTGTTTTTGTTTAAGACACCTACTATATTTTATTATTAATCATTGATGTCATTAATTTATGTAGTTTTTACCATTTCTGTGAACTTATACATTATGTAAATTATATAAAATATATCAAAATAGTGGCTAAGCAAACACTCAGTCAATTATGCCTAAGTGAACCTTGTGTAGTGGTGGCGTCACGTGAACCATGTAGACCCATGTAGCCTACATCACATAGTGGAATAAGACTTTTGTGATGTCGTTGTTGCTGCTGCATCTTGCCTTCATTGTCAGTGGTACACGTTTTTTATGTTAAATAGAATGATACGACTGTCTTCATAGAACAAGTTAGAGTCATGGCTTCTGGGCTTTTGAGGGACACTTTGGCACTAACTGTTTGTTTGTGTCAAATTTATAGCTCAGTAAAACTTAATTGATGGGATACTTCAGAGTCGTCTTTAATTTCTAGAACCATCATATTATAAGCTCGCCATGTAATTTTAACCAAAAATGTTCCTGGTTTCCTTGGATATGTGTTTGGAATGTGAAAGCATCTGTAATGTACATTGTAAAGTAATAGGTTTCAATAAGTGCCACAAACTACTACAGCATAGATCAAAATATGAATTTTCAATTTACTTCTGTAAAACCTTTTGGTGCGGATGATTTACTTATTAAATGTTTTTTTCAGAACAAACTAACAATGGAGGTCATTTACAGGTATTATGGTGTAGCACTTCAGAGGAACACCAGTGGAATTAATTTTATTATAAACATTTATGCTGTAATGCTACATGTGAATTTAGACCAGAGTTTGCATATAGTTCCTGCTCTTTCCCTGTTTGTGTTTGACAAGCTTTTCCTAAGACATGCGGTCGTGGTGGGGAAAGTCTTCTTCCAAAGAGGTGAAAGGGAAGACAAACAAGGAAAGTATTATTCATACTATACAGCGGAAATTAAAGAATGCTTCTGAAGAGAAATGCAATAATAAATCTGGAAGATCAAGGAAACATCGTGATGATGCTATCTCTAAAAAGGGATCTAGATCTCTTGCACCTTCAAGATCACCATCACCCTCTACACATGTATCCCGATGTCAAAGTTTTGCAGAAAGGCCCCTTTCTCAACCACTCCCATTACCAGGGTCACGTCATTCAAGTGCCATTGATGCAAATTCTGGGGTTATTTTAACATCAAAACTAGAAAGAGCCATAAACTCAACAAAGCCATCTCTATATTTACCCCTTCCAATACCTGGTTTTGTTTCAAACAAGGAAGATGCTACTGATATGGAAGGAGATATAGCCACTGCATCTGTTTCTAGTGACAGCTCAATTGATAGTGGCAACTCATTTGATTCGCCACATCTTGCTAGTCCTCTGGCATCTGATTGTGAAAATGGAAACCGAGCCACCATTAATAGTTCTTTCAGGTGGCTTTGTTTTCTTCTAGATATATTTTTTTAAATGCTTTCCATTTATTTACCTCTTCTTTTTGTAACTAATTTGTATCTATGTTCCTATAGTATGGTGCACAAGAATCAACCTCTTATTGCTATCCAAAGAAACTCAAGAGCATTCTCAAAACCAGCTCCTCAGCTGTGCAATAATAAGCCATTGTCTACCTCACCAAGAGGGGTTCGTTTACATCTGCCAAATCTGCAAGTAGCTCGCCCAGGTGGTTTGTGTAGTGCTCCAGATAGTTCAATGTCAAGTCCTAGAAATCCAATGGGAGCATTTGGCCCTGAACAAATATTGAACTCTGAATTACATACAAGAAAGCCTTATCCAGATATAGCTTATGGGCACTCATATAGTGTGGTTTCTGGCCGTAATTCTGGTCATAATTCAGTTGGGGGGGATCTTTTAGGACAGATGATTTTGCAGCAAAACAGGTGTAGCCCGGAGTGTTCTCCAATACCTAGTCCCAGAATTACAAGCCCTGGTCCCAGTTCCAGGATACAGAGTGGTACTGTAACCCCTCTGCATCCTAAAGCCGGAGGAACTGCAGCAGAAGGACCTACAAGACGCCCCGATGATGTGAAACAAAAAAATCATCAGTTACCACTTCCTCCAATAACAGTCACTAAGCCGGGTCCATTTTCTCCAACCTATTCTGCATCAACAACTCCTGCTCCTCGAAGTCCCCCTGGATCAGAAAACTCAATAAACCCAGGTTCACGTTGGAAAAAGGGGCAGTTGCTTGGAAGGGGAACATTTGGACATGTATATCTTGGTTTTAACAGGTATGTATCAAGTGGTTGAATTTTTTATTTTATTTTTTATGTTCTCCTTCTCTTTAAATTATGAGACCTGGTACATATTGTCATTTTTTTTTTCCTTATTTTATTTTTAGGAATAAAAAAATGAGATTAATATTTAAAATTAGGGCGTTAACTACTCTAAGAGAGGGGTAGTATGAAAGTACCAAATTACTCAAGTGTGCCAGATATATACTCTGCTGTTGAACCAATGAACATGAATGTGTGATTCGGGAATTCTTAATCAAGCAGATTGTGTTTCAATATGCATTTCTCCAGTTTTTATATCGCCCTTATCTGCTGATGTCAGCACTGATCCTGTGTCAAAATTGATATTTGTTGTTGTTCATGCTTTTAGTGGTTTGGTTTATCTTTTATGTTTTTTTTCTGCATTATGTTCTTCAACTTTTTAATTGTGACTTTGTTCAACTTCTGATGATCTATAGAGAAAGTGGAGAGATGTGTGCGATGAAGGAGGTAACCCTTTTTTCAGATGATGCTAAATCTAGGGAAAGTGCACAACAACTTGGCCAAGTAAGCTTTCTTGTGTAGATTTGGTGGAATACACTTCTATGATCCATTCACGTGTCTTAGACTTGCTTTTTCTTTTGGAAAGGTCAAATTATGTCCTTACTTTTTGTTAAAACAGTAAAAAACCAGGGATAATTATGAATTAATGACATTTTATAATCATAAACGGATGTGGTGGCATTTGCAGGAAATTGCAATGCTTAGTCGGTTGCGGCATCCAAATATTGTGCAGTATTATGGATCTGAGACGGTATGTATTGAATCATTGTCTTCATTCAGTAAATGATTTCACTTTTTGAATCTGCATATGTAAATCAAGACTTTCACGTTTGCACAAGTCAGTTATTATAATTGCTTTTATGTCTTGAGAAACATGATTAAGTTTCTTCTTGCTGCAGTTACAGCTACTACTGTCAAACTATTGACTATCAACATGTCAAGTTCAGAATGTATTAACTGCTTTATGGAATTTTATGCCAAACAGGTCGATGACAGACTTTATGTATATTTGGAGTATGTCTCCGGTGGGTCAATCTATAAGCTGGTTAAAGAATATGGCCAGTTAGGTGAAATTGCTATTCGAAATTATACTCGTCAAATTTTGTTAGGACTTGCATATTTGCACGCCAAGAACACTGTTCACAGGTGAGTTGAAGTCTTCTCATGATATATGTTTCAACCATGGTAGTCAATAGTGCACTATAGAAGAGTAGCTGAGCAGCTAGGGGATTGAAATATATTAGTGGTTTTCAATAGCAGTCATTGCAGCTGCTAGTGTTTTTCTTGTTCTATAGTGTCACTCCTGTGATAAAAAACCACATTTTACGTCTTATCCTTAGATTTTTTGGGGGTAAAAGTTTGTTTTGAAATCCTTCTTCCTTGATTTTGATCTTTAGATAAAAACCCACATTTTTTTAGAAACTAATAGGGGGTTTGAAATCCTTCTTCCTTGACCATTCCATAAAACGTTACCTTTGTTTTGATTTTTGTTCCTTCACACTTTACTGCACTTTTTTAAGTCTTCTGCTCTTTCTTCTTCCTTTAAACTTCCCATTTCACATTCTACCAATTTGTTATGTTCCTTTTCTATTAATTTCACCATCATCTTTCATTTTTTTTATTTTGTTTTCATTGTTATGTTGCTCCTAGATTGATGGTGATTGTGTGTGTAATCTTGAGACTAGTTATTTGTTTTTGCATACAATAAATATTTTTAAAAACATCTAGCCTCCTGTTATCCCTCTACAGTGTTTCCACAGGTGACTGCTATGCGCCACTCTCCTAGATTGATAATTATGGTTTCAATCAGTATCTATTGTTCTAATCGTGTTGTGATTTATGAAACGATTTCTTGTGGTCTGATCACTTGATTTTGATCAGGGACATCAAAGGAGCAAACATATTGGTGGATCCTAATGGGCGGATAAAATTGGCAGATTTTGGGATGGCAAAGCATGTAAGAGCTTTTAAATGTTTAATTTTGCAACTTCTATTACCTTGTAAAAGCATTTTAATATTATGCAGACTTGAGTTGAATGTATCATCGCAATGGGTTTGACTGGCCAGGTCAACCTACATAATATGCCATATTTGGTGGGTTGGGCTTTTACCTATTTTAATCCATCAGGTGCATGACCCGCCCCTATATAATCAGTGGTGGCTTTTGATAGGTTGAGTTGATCATCAACACCCTCACCTCATCCCATTCACTAAATTGAAAAAATCATTTTTTATTTATTTAGGTGACTTGGCCTATCAAACCTCCTAAACCATCATAAAATGGGGATGCATTGACTGTTCCAACTATTCCCAAAAAAGGGGGCCAACTATCCTGCCCAGGGTGGGCCAACTTGCTTTGCCATATTTCCATGAGTTGATATCTCCTGTCTTGAATAATTTGCAGATAAGTGGGCCATCTTGTCCATTTTCTTTCAAAGGAAGTCCTTATTGGATGGCGCCTGAGGTCAGGATGATTTCTGCATTCACTTAACACTTTTTTGTCACTGATGCTATTGCTGTAATCTATTCTCATATGTGTCACTTGCCTTAATTATATAGGTTATAAAAAATTCAAATGGTTGTAATCTTGCGGTTGATATATGGAGTCTGGGATGCACTGTTTTGGAGATGGCGACAACAAAACCTCCTTGGAGCCAATATGAAGGGGTGAGTTTGTAGACAGACTAAAAGCATCTTGGATATTGTAGTATATGCATTTGATTTGAAATCTATTTTCTGAACAAAATAAATGATTCTTAGTTGGAAACTTGGAGCACATGCTTGTCTAAAAATATTGATTGTTTAACTTGTTTCTGTTGTTTTACACTACATGTTTCAAGGTTGCTGCTATGTTTAAGATTGGGAACAGCAAGGAACTTCCGGCGATTCCAGATCATCTATCAGAAGATGGAAAAGATTTTGTCAGGCTTTGTTTGCAAAGGAATCCTCAAAATCGTCCCTCAGCTGCTCAACTTCTAGAGCATTCATTTGTTAAAAATGCTACGCTCGAAAGATCCATTTTAACTGCTGTTCCTTCAGAAGATCCAACTGCTATAATAAATGCAGTGAGATCTCTGGTATGCCATTTCATACAATCATCTTTCGTAAAGCTGCATTATTTTTCACAGTTTGTGCATATCTACGTTGCCTGAGTTCTCACTATTAGTCACTTTGAATTTCTTTTAGGCCATTGGATCTGCAAAACGTAATTCATGCTTAGACTCGGAAGTGGCTGGGATCTATCCACCTAGAAACTTGAGAGCTGGTTCTGGATCAAGGTCTCTTTCAAACTTAAATGGACACCCTTAGGCATGAGAAAGATCACGATAAAAAATACAACAGTCTACTTGTGCATATGAATATTGTAGTTGTACATATGAATATTCAAAAGCTAGGAACTTGCGTAATTTTAGCACCTATTTTAGGTAAGTAGCTTCATGATTAAGCTTCAATAGTTGACAAGGAAAGGTGATGATAAAGGCTCCATGTCATATTGGTCAAATTGTCCTATGCTATTTTTAATTTTTTAGATCTACATACTTTTCTATGAAAGAGAAGGTACTAACTTGATTTGTGCCTTTTGTGTTTCTAGTGATTCTCATCCACCAAGGAACATCTCTTGTCCCATTTCTCCGTCTTTGCCTTATAAATCATTGCATACAAGTGGAAGGATTTCTCCTCCAATATCTAGCCCTCATACTGCATCTGGTTCATCTTCGCCACTAACCAGTGGCGGCGGAGCTGTTCCGTATCATCAGACAAAGCAATCAATACTCTCACATGAAGTTTCGGGTATGATCCAAAAGTCCCTGAATGGTGCTATTCTAATGTCTGGCCCTCGTACTACATCTGGCACATGTTCGCCACTAACCAGCGGTGGCGGTGCTATTCCATTTCATCAGATAAAGCAACCATTATTCTCACATGAAGTTTCGGGTATAATCCAAAAGTCTCAGAATGGTTGTCTTCCAATATCGAGCCCTCATACTGCTTCTGGCTCATCTTCGCCACTAACCAGCGGGGGCGGTGCTATTCCGTTTCATCAGACCAAGCAACCTCTATTCTCAAACGAAGTTGCGGGCATGATTCAAAAGTCTCAGACTAGTGCCATTCCGATATCTAGCCCTCGTACTGCGTCTGGCTCCTCGTCGCCACTAACCAGTGGTGGCGGGGCTATTCCATTTCATCAGACAAAGCCACCAGTATTCTCAAATGAACTTGTGGGTATGATCCAGAAGTCTCTGAATGGTGCTATCCCAATAGCTAGTCCTTGTTCTGCATCTGGCTCGTCTTCGCCGCTAACCAGTGGTGGCAGTGCTGTTCCAGTTCATCAGACAAAGCAATCACAACTCTCATATGAAGTTTTTGGTATGATCCAAACGCCTCAACATGGTTTTTATTCCAATGGAAATATCCCTTATCAGGGTTCTAAGCATGTCCAGTCTGGGAGAAACATGCAAACCACACATGCTTGCCGGGATATAAGTTCATCTGAAAATAACCAATCTAGGAGGGCTGTTCAGGGAGACCCAATAGAATTTCGTGATGGGAAGTCATACTTGGCTGATTGTGTGTCACAGCAGCTGTTGAGGGATTATGTACGGCTACATGCATGCCTGGATGTTAAGCCCAATGCCGCCAATCCTGATCGCACTAACGGCTAATGATCTACATGTCAGTGCTCACATGGTAATACCAGGCATTGAAGTTTTGAAGCTTAGCGCATTCGGATACATTTGGGAAAATCGTATATCTCAATTTTGTTCGGAGTTTCATAGTATAATAGCGTCCGAGGTCTGCGTTTTCTTAGGAGACGCAACATTCGGTCTCTGCCTTGCGTAATTTTTTAACCCTTTAAGGAAATGTAAACAGCCTTGCGTAAAATATTATTTAGCCCTTTAAGGAAATGTAAATTACTAACTTAGTTGCTGTCATTTCGCGTTTTATCATCATCCTAGGCCTAGCTGAAAATGGTGGTGACGCCATAGCGTATAGAACAGATGTCTATTGTAAATATTGGAGAAACTCAGTTACAGATTATTTAAGCAACAGATTCCTTATTTAATTGTCTTCTTTGGTGGGTTCTTCAACTCATTTCGCGTTATCTATAATTTATCAGCATCTGCGGGCTTAACTGTCAAAAAGGTTGCAGCAACCTGCAAGAAGCATAACTTTGGGTCAATTAGAATTTAAAATTTAAATTCATCCCATGCTTTTATTTCCAACACAATTCAATTCGGTAAACTCAGATTAATGCGGCTATTTGTTTAAACGCTTGTGAACTTAATTGTGTTTCGAAGAGAAGTTAATGGAAAGCAATTTTTTAGATTTAACTCGTTTCATTAAAAACTTTGGTAGAATATGAAGAAAAGGCTACTCATCTCTTTTCTTGAGTTTTGGAGAAATTGGCGAGGAAGAAAAATAGCTTCCAATTTAGGTAAAATGTGATATTCGTCATTCAAAATGTTTTGAAACGTGTAATTTTACTTAAAAATTAATATATTTTTATTCTCTACATTTATAAAAAATGTGTTCTAGTTCTCGACGCAGATCACTTATAATATAACATTCATACAAACCATGTTTTCTTAACACGCTTGCCAACCAACGAGGAACGTTTTCTTCTCTTTTAATCCTCTTGACCAAACAGAACGTATAATTTGCTTAGTCTATAGTATTCACTCGTAAGTAGGCATGGCGAATGCAATAATACATATAGTATATACACCGCTTGAAATCCCGAGCACATAAATCCACGTGTCGATTTTGATATCAATGTAACAGAGTACTGTAACGAGTCAAGTTTGAAACTAATACATATAGTATATACACCGCTTGATTTTCGACAATAACGGTCTCACAGCAATTATGGGTAGTTTAAGCTGTAACTTAAACCTTCTCAAGATGTAAGCTTATAAATTTCTAATTCTCTGAAATTTCATTTTCAATACATTAACGTTGGCATATATGCTTCTTTTGATTCAGTCCAGTCAAACAAAGCTTAAGCTACTTGGGATTAGTCAGACTTAAGCTAAATTCCCATAGTTTTTTTGCCAGCTCTGAATCTTTAGCCATAAAGGTTGGGTCTGCCTTATTGCTATCCATGAAGTATTCACCAGATATTCCCCTGACTTGTGGATGCAATGCCACGTAACACTGAGTTGCAGCTCCCTATAAACATGCCCCAACAATTCAATTATAACATATCTGGTGTAACATTTAGATTAACAGCATATCAGCACACACTGTATTAGATATATTTTGTATGTGCTAAATACCTGTTGCACATTTTTAAGAAAGTACTTGCCCACCATATTAGCAAGGGCTGCATAAATCAAGTAGTAGATACGTGAATGAAAGTTCAAATGATTATGCATAGATACATGAACGAAAGTTCAAATGATTATGCAATATAAGGTATATTTGCTTCCCTTTATGTCTTTTTTACTGGATATGCATAGGATGGTAAGCATATTGATATGGATTATGTAGATCAGTCAATGTAATTTATGTCTAATATTTATTAAACCGGTCATCAGACCTGTTTCCAAAAGCAAGGATACTTCAATAAACACACTAATTGAATGGTATGCATACTAACCATTAACATAACCATGGTATCGCAAAATATTTGTAATAATTGATCCAGGATGAAGGGAGTTGACAGTTATTTCCACTCCTTCTTCCTGTCAAACAAAGGAAACAGGCAGGGACATCAAACTCAAACCAATGAGTTCAACAATTAGTCAAATTCAAAAAGATTTGGAAATCAATTTTACTGAAGCAGGATATTTACAAACATGGAACACTAAATATTATTGCAGTAAATAAAGTGGAATCAATGAAATTCCATAAATTAGAGATGATTTTTAATGAATATATTACCTTCAAGCGCCTTGCAAGCTCCTTTGCATGCAAAATGTTAGCAAGTTTTGATTGGCCATAAGCAAAATAACTGTTGTACCTGTAAAAAATCAGATAGAGATGGAAACTATGCCATTTCGGGAACTCAAAACATTGGACATGAATAGTATACATTTATTCTGATTTTTTGTAGCAAGAACTTTGTAGAAAGCAAGGAAAAAGCTTTATCATTGATTTATCATTACAACCAGACTATTACCCTGATTCATCATTGATTTTATCAAACAAAATTCCTTCACGGTATGCAAATCTGTGTGCCTCTGATGATAGAATAACTATCCTTCCTTCCTGGTTGCATTCTCGTACTGTTCTTTTCATAGTTTCTAATAAAAGGTTTGTCAAGACAAAATGACCTACAAAATAGTATTATAAATTAATCATCAAAATGATTTTGCAAATTATTAGAGAACAACAACTTTCAGTTATATATGACCATTTAGAAAGACATGTAGCAGAAATGAGGTCAGAGAAAATTTACATATTATGTGAAGTAAACACGTAATATGATACCTAAATGATTGGTTGCGAACTGCAATTCAATATTGTCTTGGGAAAGCATGAATGGAGTTGCCATCACCCCTGCATTGTTACTTCAAGGGAAAGAAAGAATATTATTTCTTTCAACTTTTAACTAAGCAAAGAATATAATTTGTTTCAACTTTCATGTGTGCAATCAGCACATAAAACACATGGAAATAATTTTACAGGTATAGTTTATCAAACAAGAAAGTAGTAAAGTTGGCAAAAACCATCTTTCCAGAAAGATAAGAGCATAATAAGAAGACATCAATCATTCACATTCAACCACTTGGAGCCAATAGACAAAACATTACCCAAATTATCTAAAATAGCTAGAGTTAAAATCTCTTACATTAGGATATTCAGTGGAAGACCAGATGAATTAAAATCTGCTGCAAATTTCCTTACCGATGCCATAGAGCTTAGATCTAACTCCATAACATCGATTTTAGCCGAGGGAATTTCCTTAAGTATAGTTTCTTTGACATTCTTACCACTGTCTACATTCCTTACTGCCATAACAACATGGACACTGCGCGATGCAAGAACTCGGGTGGTCTCCAGACCAAGACCACTTGATGCTCCTGAAATGTTCTAAATGAGTACTGAATCATGATAGTTAAAACCAGAAAAAAAATTAAGACTCCCATCTAAATTAAATAAAAATTTACATGTATCTCGCTTGTTCAACAATTCAGCAAAACTAGTTACCATCCGAACTAAAGAAAGAAAAACAATCTGTGTCGTGTGTAGTGTATGGTATACCATATTACGTTACATAGCTTTTTTTTGAGAGATCATAAGTATCGTGTCTTCAGTGGGGCTACTCTCATACAAATCTTTGATCAAATGCCCCTACTGAAATGAGCCATAAGTGATGCCTCATTAAACTATAAAACAACATAAGAAAAATAACTGTCAACTTTCAATTCATTTCATCCCAGAAAAGGGTTCCAAGTGGACCAAGGCGTTCTCGGACAGACACCGTTAAAAATGTTGACTTGCTTCAGTGGAAAATCCTTTTATACAAACACACACACCCCAATTTTCTCAGCACCCAGAAACACATAACAGAATATTTTTATTCAAAAAGAGAGAGAGAGAGAGAGAGAGAGAGAGAGAGAGAGAGAGAGAGAGAGAGGAAAGACCTGTGACGATGGCGCTGAGAGCGGTTCCATCAATCCCTTGAGTGACTTGTTCGGCAGTGGAAGAGGCTGAGAACCCCGATTCCCCTTTCCAACCAAGAAACCACATTTTTACTTTTGCACACCAAACAAGTCAAAACACAAAATCAGGGTGAGTTTTCAGTTTGTGTGAAACTTACGAGAGCTAATTATATATTTGAAAAACTTATATATATATATATATATATATATATATATATATATATATATATATATATAAATTATGCTAAAAACAATATTTGAATAATTGGTTTTTTTATAACAATCACTTAATAATTTTTTTATAATCTATATTATTATACAAATAATATTATTTTTAACCTACTTTTTATCATCGCAAAACAATATTATTTTTATTAAATATAATATAATTATCTTTATTATATGTTACTAATAAAAAAGAAAAATAATTATTATAAAATTATAATTAAAAATAAATAAATAAAAAAAATAGAAACTAATAATTGAGAAATAACATATAACACAGTAGGTGATGTACATTAGCAATAACTTAATCTAAAGGATAGGTTAGATAATTGGCAATTCACGCAGTAGGTAGTACTGCTGATACTTACAGATAAACGTTTCATCACATCACTTAAAATTATATCTCAGTTTATATTGTTATTTCCTCTTAATCATTGGAGATATTTTTTTAAATAAAATTATAATACATTAAACTTTTAAATAATTAATTGTTACTTGTTCCGATTTTCTCAGGATAAAGGATTGATTTTAAGGTTTGATGAATTACTTAGAGATTATAATTTTAAGATATCGTGATGTATATAACATCCTAATTCTTGTATCTTTGTTAAATTTTAATAAAATCTTTATCAAAATTTTAATAATTAAATTATTAGGAACTGAGTAAAGTGACTCTAGAGTTTGATGATTATTAGATTATTTATAATTTTCTGGAATTTTTGAAAATAATAAAAATTGACTCATTTTGTGGGCATCTGAGCACTGAGATAGTAATTATATGTTTTAAGGTAGAAATTGAAAGTAAGATAAGTAATTAAATTAAGAATTTAATAATATTGTAGAGATGAGGAGTGAATCATTTGGTTAAACCCTTATTATAAGATTTGAGGGTCATGAGTTCGATTGTTGTATGTGCATTGAAACAATTATAATTTTTGTATTATTTTATAATTGTTAGAAAATACTCATGTGTGTACGTTGAGTATGGACTTTACAATTTTAATGGTCACATTTAGAAATTATTGTTTTCATGTATACATTGAGTGTGGGTACATTAAAAGTTTATTATGTGTACAAGTTGACAAGAAACATACGATGATTGATATGATTTGGAGTAATACTTGAATCTTAAGGGTTGTGGATTTAAATCCTGACTAAATTAAAAAAGGAGAAAATAATGGATAAATTTTTGTAATATAATATGTTGAGCGGATTGTGGTTTGAAATCTTTCTATCTCGTAGGTTTCTCATTTCTCCCTTCCTCTCAAAACTTTCCTTACCTTCAAGCTTGATTTTGAGGGGGAAATCTTGATTTTCTTGAGGAGCTCCAAGAGGTAAGTTTGTTTCTCTCAATCTCCTCTACATTTCTACGGTTTTATCTTTCAAAATGGTGCATTTTCAATTTTTCTCCTCACTTGATTGAGCTTGAATGGGAGTAGGAAGAGTGTTATTGTAGGTTTTACACCTAAGATACTAGAATAATGTTTAAAATTGAAGATTAGAAGTGATTAAGCTAAAAAATTTAAGAACCCTAATTCGTAGGTACTGTTCATTGAATTTTTGGGACTTGTGTGAACAGAATTAGTATCTTTATGAAAGTTGTAACTCTTTAAGTTGTCGAAATTTAGAAACTGGTTTCACATTAAATGGATATTTGTAGTTCAAGTTATGCTCATTTTACTGTCAAGTGTTCTATCTGTGACGTTAAGAGGTAGCCCTGTTTCAACATCCTCGGTTTTTGAATTACTGAGATTGATACGTGTGAAATTAGGACTTGATTCCTTCATAAAAGTTGTAGGAAACTATATTTCCGAAATTTAGAATTTTGTTTCATGTTAATAGCTTATGTTTAGCATGAGTTATAATCCAATTACCAAGGCATGTTCATAGTGCTATTGTAGTTGAGCCTAGTTGGAAACAACCATTGAAAACTGCATCTATTCTATAAGGTATTTGAATTTATTTCTTTCATCAATATTGTAGATAATTAAGTTATTGAAATTTTGGCTCAGGCCTCATGCCAAAACAATTTATATAACTCTAAAAAATTCTGAAATACTGAACCTTGTCCATGTTTGCTATTAAGATTCTTCCTACTCTAAGTGCATACAAAATAGGATAATTTTCTAAGATAATTGTAAGTTGAATGTGAGCTTAAAATATTATTAGAAATGGATTAACAACACAAAGTGAATTTAAATTCTCATGAGATAGAAACATAAAAATATAAAATTCTAACTAATATTTTATTACGTATATAGATTTTGCTGAAACACAACATCAAGTTTTGAAAGGAATAAGTGTGGACGTATCAGATAAGGGGTGGGTTATATAGTAAGGATTACATCATAAACTTGTTTGACCTTATTTGTTGAAGTTGTCTAAATTTGTTATGATTGATAATTTTGATTTCATTATATGCTTGGTTGTGAAAGTGATAATGAATTGCTTATGTGTATGATGATGTAAAATACATATTTGATACTCTATTATGATATGTATTGTCTCTGAGTGAGCATTTATATGCATGATGGTTTTTCATGAGAAAGTTCATTGAAAATTAAATTGAAAAAAATTGGATGATGGGTTGTGAATTTTTTTTTAACTGTATTGACATTTTTCTACTTGTAACAGATGATTAGAAATTTTTGAGAAGTCTGTATTACAAGGGAAACTCTGTCAAAATTTTTGGAAAAATGTGAATTTCTAAGAAAAATCACTTAGGGACTCATACATTACTCATCTAAAAATGGTGATTTGTGAAATCTGAGGAATAAAAGATTATGGATTCTGAGAATATGATAGGGAGACCCTGAGGGAGGACTTGAGGATAGGAAGGATAGTGGTTGGAGGCCCCAAAAGACCCAGACTCGCTACCTGTTATCGGGGATCCCACTGTACAAACTCTTCTGTACCTGACTGTGCTCTTACCATATATCAATGGTCAGTGAGCTACTGGGTTTATATTTGAACATGGGTCTCAACAATCCCGTTGATGGATTTTTCATGCATAATAGTGTCAACTCCTGGCTACCCCAATACTGATTTGAGAAATGATTCAGGTCCGCATGCATAAACATTTTAGAAAAACATATTAGAATCATGCATCATTAACATCAATCATTTGGAATTTAATTGACTTGTGAATGTTTATAATGTTTGATTTTAAAATGATGTATGAACTGTTGTTCACCTTCTTATTTTTTTGTTTTCTTTATTTCCTTTGTACTTGCGGTACTCGTTGGACTTGATCGGTCATTGTTTGAAAATAGGGGAGATGACATAGATTCCACACCCGATGAATATGACACTCATACTCATTAGCTGGGAACCACAATGATGACAACATGTATTGGGATAAACATATCCAAACTTTTATAGACAGTCTTTTGTAGTATATAGACCTATATAGTACTGGGTAGTAGTCACTCTTTTATGTAGTTAGTTACTCTGTAGAAAGTATCCCCAATGTTGCCCTTAATATTTTGAAGGACTGTACTAGTATTTTATCTATATGTAATTATGAATGTTTACTTTTATTACTTTTTAAAATGATGAAATGCGGGAATGAGTTATTAAAAATTTATATATTAATATTATGTACGAGGGAAAGATTATTATTGGTTTTAAAAAAATCTGCTAAAAATTATTAATTCTTCTAATTGAGAATTTATAAGGTAGAGTGTTACAATATATTAAGATAGGAGAATAAATATCAATATTTTATCTAAGAATGATGGTGTATATTATTGAGAAATCAAATATGAGTTTTAAGTTCCATATTGGATATAAATGAGAAAGTTAAATAATTTATAAGTGAGAAAGATCATAATTTAATGTCTTATGGTGTTAGGTTAAATGTTGTATCATATTCTCTTAAATAATTTATTTATGATCTAATTATGAGAATCACACTATTATTAACCCTAAGTTATTGTCTGTTTTTTTAACTTTTATCCATTACGATATTATTTTTAAAAGATTATATATAAATTATCATTATTCTCGAATTCTAAATAATGAAAGATTATTTAATATATCCAAAAAATAATATATTAAATAGAATAAAATTTTAAACTTTAAAATACCTTAAATACAATAATTAACTAACGATACGTAATCTGAAATTGGGATAATTTCTTTTTTAAATAAAACATTAACATCCACTGCCTAAAGTTTTAAAATTGATTATCTAGAACAAGTTATAATAATCAAATCAAATTCGAGCATCATTATTTATTTGTTAACATGAAATTTTGTAGTTTACATTTAACAAATATAATTCCACAGGCAAGATGTTGGAGAAAGGGATATTTACTTTCTTTGGACATTTTTAAAACTTTCTTTGTTTATGGTCTTTTATTTACAGTTAAATTTTACTAATCTGAAAACATTGATCATGGAAATAAATTATAATAAATGAAAAAAGATAAACGAATTAAAAATAATTTGTGAAAGTAATGAAAGAATTTGAAAATAGTTGAAATTGATACGAATGAAAAATGTAAATTGAAAACATATAAATGATATTAAATTAAAATATTAGCAATTAAAATACGTGATGGAAAGTAACTACAAAACGGTTAAAATGCATGTAAAGTGATGCTGAAAAGTAAAAAGCTTGAATGTAAATATGGAAATGAAAAATTATTCCTTGAAAAGATAAATTAAAGCACTTAAATGAGAAAGTAAAAGACAAGAATGATAAGGCAAGAATTAAAGGGTTGAAAATGAAAGTATTGGAGTTGAAAGATCTCGAAACAAACGAAGAACTTGATTGAAGTTCACTTAATCATTTGATGATAAAGTTACAATCTTTATTCCAAGCACATCCTAACTATCAATAACTTCCACCAAATTCTCTTCATAACTTTCAAAAATCATGAAGGTTAATAATTTTCAATCTTCAAGATTTTCATCATAGTAAACAAGTCGAAATAGTTTATACATTTGATTTCAATAATTAGATTTGTAATTTTTTTAGTGAAAAAAATATGTTTAAAAAATAAAGTAATTTATTTACAATAAATATCATAAGTTACAAAGAAATTTTGATACAATTATATTTTTCTTTCTATTGAGGCAGTGTACATCATAAAAGAAGCAATCCATTAAAATAAAAGAATAAATAAAAGAAGTAATCCATTCAAAGTGTACCAAATACAAACAATCTCAAGAAAGTAACCATGTCATAATTTACATCCATAGGAAGGATTAACACAAAAAGATTCACATGATGAATTTCCAAATTAAGCAGACACCAGATACATAATAAACAAGAATTAAATCAAGCAAGCACAGAGAAAAATCAAGAGCCTAAGCCCTTGCCTTGAAAGGAATGGCTCGAATAACTATCTGGTGATACACGGCAGCAAGAGCAGCTCCAATGAAAGGTCCAACCCAGAAAATCCACTGTAAACCACAAAATCAAAAGTTATATAATTATTGAAGGCTAATGGGCATATAGAACAAGGTTTCAAATCTTTAAAAATAATGGAAGTAAGAAACTTACTTGGTCATCCCATGCATGGTCCCTGTTGTAGATTATGGCAGCTCCGAGACTCCTTGCAGGGTTGATGCCAGTTCCTGTAATGGGAATGGTGGCCAAGTGGACCAAGAATACAGCAAATCCAATGGGAAGAGGAGCCAAAATCTGCAATTATATCATAGTAAATTAATCACATTAATTGCAAAGTTAGAACATACCCACTTGTAAACCAAAATAATTGAACGCATGCAATGTAAAGACCACATACAGGAACGTGAGAGTCTCTGGCGTTTCTCTTGGCATCAGTGGCTGAGAAGACGGTGTAGACAAGAATGAAAGTGCCAACAATCTCAGCTCCAAGTCCATCACCCTTGGTGTATCCAGAGTTCACAAAATTTGCTCCACCTTTGAACAGCTCATACCTAGCATTACCCTCAAAACCCTTCACCACACCAGCCCCACAGATGGCTCCAAGACACTGCATGATAATGTAGAACAGTGCCCTTGTGAGGGACAGCTTCCTTGCCAAAAACAGACCAAAGGTCACAGCTGGGTTGATGTGTCCCCCTGCAACAACAAACAACACAGATCTGGCTTAGTTCCATGTTTTGCAACAAAAAATGTGTAAAAAATCCCACATTCACTGATAATGTTGTCAAAATAATATATATACAAGTAAAAAACAAGCTTATGTAATGAACTAAATTTTGGAGTTGAACTAGATCCAAAGGATGTAGATCCAAAACTTTGAGAAAAGATGATGGGAGAAGCTAGCATAGGAAAAACAAAAAAGGTATAATACCTGAGATTCCAGCAGTGCAGTAGACAAGGGCAAAGATCATGCCACCAAAGGACCAAGCAATGCCTTGAATGCCAACAGAGGAGCACTTGGAGGAGGACCTGTTGACACCCATGACAGTTAAGATGGTTATGTAGAGGAACAAGAAGGTGGCCACGAACTCAGCAATCCCAGCTCTGTAGAAGGACCATGACTTGAGCTCACCAGGCTCAAACAAAGGAGCTGGTGGTGGTTCCTTGTAGTCCTTGTCACCCTGTGCTGCTGTACCTATCGGCTGCCTCTCAGAGAACTTGTTTGCTCCAACCTTGACATCTTCTTCTTTACTCTCCATTCGTTCTTTGCTTATCTCCCTCTCTCAGAAAGTTAATAAACTAGCAGGCCTGAGATTACTCTCGCTTTATATAGTGGAAAGAGGAAACTCGAACCTACAGCACAAGTCCACTAGCTGGTGTCTAGGGTAATACAGTAATTATCATATCACATTATTATAAAGTAATCAAAAGGTTAAGTGTAGCTGTTTTTTTGTTTTTAGCAAAGACTGTTATGCTTTGATTTTAGTACTTCTAGGATTAAAAAACTAATAAGACGTTGGTTGAAGTGCTGAGATGGTGATGTTTATAATTATTAAAAAGAGAAATATTTTTTGTAGAAAGTGTGGAAGTATGTGATCAGTTACAAACTTGTCTTCTTCTTTATCCGCCGCAGACTTCATCTTCTCATCTCTTAACATTTTTGTCTTTTTAATGTTTTAACGTGTAAATATGTAATAAAAATGAACTTAAATAAACATGAATACGTGAATATAAAACACCCAAGTGAGTAAACTATTATAGAGTACTGTACTGCAAAAAAATAACTAAATTTGGATGTTAATGAGAATGATTATGTTAGAAAAATGCTAACTTTTTTTTTTCTTTTGTCAAATGTAAAGGAGGAGTTAGTTGGGGAGTGTTGAAGAAAAAAAAAAAAAAAAAAAGTACCCGTTAGGGTTGAGTGTTGCTTTTGAAATGTGGTTGAATTGTGAGTTGCTATTAACGGTAGGGAAATGAGAGCCACAGGATTGAGAAAGAAATCGGACGGATGAAAAAAAATGACCGTTTGGTGACCGTTGAGAAAGTGACAGGCACATGGAAATTTAGATAAGTGTTCTGCGGTCATTTTCAAACAGTTATTATTTCTGCTGCAACTTGCAACATTTCACGTTACTGTTACTGTTACTGTTACTGTTGCACAAAACATCTATCCATTCACACAAAAAATTGACGAAAGTGTGGTTCAAATTTTTAATCAAACTGGCACAAATTTCTCATCATTGGTTATGTTATGTTAGTGGAATAATATTTATTGTAAAAGAACTATTCCTTAACTAATATTTTATTTTTAAGAAAGTTATTCTGATCACGTATAATAATATTATGCAGATATTGAATGATTTTAGGGATTCTTGTCTTTGATGATACATTTTGTATTATTTGGAGGAACGTGAAGAATGAAGAATAATGAAAGGCGAGTCTTTGATATCATAACATGTATTCCAAAAGAAGAGTGGGGCCCACCCATGAAGCTTTATGTGTTTGTTATGCACAACAGCTCATACTCCACCCATGTCTTGTTGGGCCTCCTTGTCCCACATGCCCCTTTTTATTTATTTATTTATTTAACAACACATTTTATAATTAACTATTCTTATGTATCAACTTTCAAAACCTTATACAAACCTAAATCCTTCTACGTTATACATTGCATGAATATAATTGAAGAATTAGGAGTGACATGAATGTAGATTTGTTTATTAGATTTTTACATTATATAACTCCTTCCCAACTACACAGTTTTGTGATTGAAATGCTTTCACAGAGAGGTCTTAGGATTGAAGAGTGATAACATATCTTTGCAAAGTTTATGGAAAATAATGTCTTCTAACTCGAAATAATAATCTTTCACAAAAATAATTCTACATGTACTCATACATATTTCTTCTATTTTAAAATATATGATATTTTAAATAGTAAAATTCCATTCTAAATATATGATGATTGTAAAATTTAAGATTATATTAGTTATTATTTTTTTATCAATTATATCTCCATCTTTCAATTATATTTATTGAAAAAATAACAAATTACTTAAAGAGTATTTTGGTTTAAGAAAATATTAAGATAATAGAGATATTAATAGAAAAAAGTAATAAATTTATTAAAATTAATGAAAATTCACATTTGTCAAAATTTGTATAATCAAATTTTAAACTTCATATATATTTTAAAATGGAAGGAATATTAAGAATGTACTATAAAAATAATAAATGCAAAACCATTTACATGATTTAGCTCCTTCTAGTTACATTTTTGAACAAATTTCAAATAAAGATTTTCTATTTTAACAGGAGTTTTAGTTAGCTTAACTCATTTGTGTAGATTTTTAAAGCATTGATCATCATTTTATATGTGAAATATATTTCTAAAGCATTTTTTAGGTTTAAATAAACTTAATGTAGACAATATTCTTGTCTTTGAATACTTGTGATGGTTCTTTACGAAACTCCTTTTACATAATGACAGTGTAACTTTTTCCAATAATAGAACGAATTAGCATCGCTTTATACAAAAAGTCAAATATCAGTTTCATAACAATGGTCTACACAATAATAATAATAATAATAATAATAATAATAATTAATTTAACAATTTTCTTCTTTTAGTTTATTTTATTTAAAAATCAAATTGTTTTACGTAACATATTTTTTGGCAATATTATTGACTTCTAACGATAAATTTGGGCACTTTGGAAACAACCCGACTGTATGTTTTTAGCTCAAAGGTAAATTTTTTACTTTTTTAATCAAACTTTTAAACTATTATTAAAGTTGTAGCCTGTTAAGATCACAGTCTAACTCTAACATGAAAAAAAAAAATCTTATTCCATTATGTTGTTAACCCAAAAGTGTTAACTATTTTATATTATATATTAGTATTTTATTATGATAAATATTTTAAATTTGAATTGAATTTATTAGATCATAATAAATATATTTTGTATTTTATTTAATGTGTACCAAGTGAACTAAATCAACAAGTGACCTAATAGAAGTGAAGGAATTTGAGAAACAGGCTGGCAGGATTAGTTTGACAGAGCATTACGTGGAACATTTTTTTTGGTCAGATTCCAAAACATTATTTACTACCAATTATGTCATTAGTACACTTTATATAAATTATCCTTTTCTTCTTCTGCTTTTGTTCTTCACTTTTATTATGATGTTGGAATGCACATGCATGGTCTTTCCCTTTCTCCTCTACTTCACGAAATGCCACAAATTTCAAATCTCAAATCATACTCATGCATTAAACTATCACTCCTTCGAGTAACAAAAATACTTCATTTCCACCTCATTCTTCTTTTTATCAACTTTTCATTTTCTCTCTTCCCTTCACTTTTCTCACAATCTTTCTCTTCTTTCCACTTCTAATAAACCTCAAATATGGTGCGTATTACAATTTTGTAGATGATATCATTATCATTTTTCTTCATAAAAAGATGATAAAAGAAAATATTATTTCACTCGATTAAATCTAGTAAGTGAATGGAACAAAAATAGAAATCAAGTTTAATGCCATCCATCCAATGCCCATGTTCATCCATCAAGTTTAGAAGACCTACCAAGAGTAAAAATTAAAAGAAAGAAGGAATAAATAAATCATCTTGGTGGGTACGAAATGAATTTTTTTTTTTCAGTGACCAAATAATTTGTTTTCAGTGTCCGAAGAGGAGAGTTGGGAAAGTCAATAACGGATAAGATAAGTGCAAGTAAATTCTCATGAAAGACATAAGCAATCATTGGCTTCCGAGTGTCATTATTCGCATTTGCTAGATTCAGTATTCTCAATTTTTCGTGCATTCATTCATACAGTGAGCAAATCTCAGAATAGTGTTGGAGGAATTGACTTATATGTTACCTCGGTAGTTATTTGAATTGTTTAATCTTTATTGAAAAGTTTTGATTCCCTTGTAAAACCATTTCCCAATGATAAAAGAGTGAGCTGAAATAAAATAGTTACTATACTTTTGGATTACGTGTAAAACAATCTGGAGAAGTGTGAGTTGTGAATATCAGTGGAATTCCTTTTAGAATAACCAATGAAAGAAAGAGAATAGTAATTCAATGTAAAAGAAACTTCGTACTATGTGTCTGTGTAGTAAGTTTCAAATTCATGAATATAAGATATTGCAGCACTGTGATGATATGATAATTCCAAACATTTTCTGCACTTGATGTACTTAGCAAATTAAAAAAATCTCACATTCAAACATGCAGAAATAAAATCTGCATGTGAGGAGATTTCATTAGTCATACAAAATTGTCAATTAAAATGGATAGAGTGACAGCGTGTTTGAGTATCAATCTCAAACGAATAATTAAAACTTCTAAGTTCAAAACACGATTCTTCACTTTTCAATTTGTTTCCAAACACATTAGTACTGAATTTGGTGTCAGCGTAGGTCCTGATATAACGAATTTACCAAATATCCTGACTTTTCTGCCTTGTCGTTGATAGTAACATGCTTGTTAATAATTATTTAAAAAACATGAAAATTTGAAGTTCGTAAGTGTCATGCATGGAATAAAGTTAGTTGTATGAATGATTCTAGTGTTCCAAGGTTGGGCCTTGATGAGGGTATTATTGTAACGCTATGTTTATATAGCATCTGTATGATTCGTTGTTCTGCTACATATTTCGATGAATGGTGTATTGATCTGTTCAACACACGCACAAGAAAGCAGTACCTGAAGCTTCATGCATGGCCAAGGTCAAGTTCAATCCCAGTTTTTGCATGGACTAAATTACACTAAATATTCTTCAAATTTTGTAAAATATTTTTTTTCTTTTATCTTTACAATTGTTTCTCTTGATTGTTTAAAAAATATTATACAAAATCATCTTTATACATTTGTTCTAGAGTAAAGGAATATGCTTTTTTAGATTTTTTTTTCCATTCTCTTTTATCCTCAAATCCCCTCCCCCACTGTTTGTTTCCTTTCTTTCCGTATTTATCGGCTCCGATAATATCTTATTTCCAACTACTATCTATGTCTCGGGCCCGTTAAGTAATAATTAAGTTCATCTTCTTCGAATGGTTTTATCTTAACCCACTTTACTTATATCATTAGATTTGGGCTCCATCAGGCGTAATTTTTATTCACATACTACAACCCCCAAGTCTTAAATTAGAAAAATATTTTAATGTAAAAACTAAAAACTTAAATAAACGTCCAATACACTCTATCCCTTAATATTTCATAAAATAATTAACTTTAACTTTATCCAAATA